GTCCAGGTCAGCAGGGCATGGCAGAGTGACCACAAAATGCCTGGAGCTGCACTTTTGCCTCTGGGACCATGACCAAGTCATACCCCCATGTCCTGGCTTTATGGGACAATGAGGACAGCAGGTCCATGCCCCACTCCAGGATGGGCAGGATTGGCTGTTCCACACAGGGAGGGGCTCAGGGGAGCAAAAAACACCAATTCCAGCCCCCAGAACCACCCAGTGCCCACCGTGCTCCTGCCTGYTCCTCCCTGGCAGAGCTCCAGGCCTGGGGGACAGCCGAAGGGTCACCACTGCTCTGACATTTCCCAGCAAAATTAAGTTTCCTGCTAAAGGGCACTGCCAGTGAACATCATTGTCTCTCCCCAAAGTGCTTCAGATGATGGTTTTGACACATTTCAGCCTGCTGCTTCTCCACCAGCCTAAAATCCTAAATCAGCTTGAGGCACTTCTGGCCCCAGGGCACGCGTCCCTTCCCGTCCCAGACACTGCCAGACCTCTGCTGTCACTTCACATCCTGTTCCTGCAGTCAGCTCCTGGGGTGSCTCCTCACACAGCAAAAAGGGGATTTTTCTGGGTTTTCCTCCCCCTTTCCCCCTCTTTGATGTAGGAAAGCCTCACGACATTCAATCTGGGACGAGAGAGCCCCCGGGCTGGGAACAATCCCGGCTCTGTTCACCTGGATTCGGGACACGCTCTCATTCCCTGAGCTGCTCAGGGGCCTCCAGCCGAGGCCAGCTCGTTTTTTATTCCCATGGACACAGGAGAGGCTCTCCTTGATGCCCAGCCCTGAGGATGCTCCGTGGTGGGAGTTCAGGAGTCGCTGACTGACCCTTTACAAACTCCAAATTCCCCTTTTTCCAGGGAGATCACAGGAAATCCATCCTAACCCACCGGAATCCTGATTTTCCAGGACACGTGTGTGGCCCTATGTTGGACATAAAGGGAGGAAGCATTGATGGAGCCCAAACCACAGCTCTGTACTACAGACATATTCAAAGGGCCACAGCCAAATTCCTCCTGTCAGGCAGGAAAATAAATCATTTCCCAGCTGTTACACACCTGATGGGTTCTCACAGCCAAGGCACAGCTACAAGACACGGATTCTAACTCTTTTTTAAACAGGAGACACTGTTCAATTCTTCTTTGGCACTATCAGTGCTCRGCAGTCCTAACACAGACATTTTCCAAACTCCTGTTTCCTCTGGAATGCTCCAGGTGCACACACAGCCATATAAATCACAAACACAAGCATCCCTTCAGATTCACCAACCCTCCCTCCTCGTGGGAAACACTCAGTTCACCCTGGTTCTTGTCCTTGCTCCAGCCAAGGAGCTGGGGGTGTTTCCCAAGCCTTTTGGGGGTGTTTCCCAAGCCTTTTGGGGTGTTTTCCAGGCCTTTTGGGGTGTTTTCCAGGCCTTCTGGGGTCATTTTCCAGGCTCTCTGGGGTTGTTCCTCAAGCCCTCTGGGGTCTCTGATTCTCCATCTCTGGGGAATGTTGCCCTCCCAGCACCCCACAGGAGACACTCACCTCTCTGCCGTGCTGTTATCACCAAAAGGGCCACCCAGGCTCCCAGAAACGATCTCTTGTTCATCCTACAGAGAGGAGAAAACCCCAGCCATGCATCACATGGGTAGGAAAACACATSCTTGAGGAGATTCCTGAAACTGTCCTCCTGCTGCTTACACGTGGATGTTTCAGAGCTGGGGGTCCCTCAATCCCATTTCTCAATTTCCATGGAGAAATGCCCATTCCATGGATTGGTGTGAGGAGAATTCCCAACTGATAACAGAAAATCACCTGCCAAAGGAAGCCAGAGCCCCATGGAAGAGCTCATTTCATGTGTGGAAACTGAACAGCCACAGCTCTCCCTGGGCTCTTTATTCTCCTGAGGGGTTTTAAAGGAATTCCTGATCCATTTAGGGCAGGGATGGGTGCTCCTGGCTGATCCCAAGGGGAGCAGCTTTGCCTCACACAGGTGAGCTGTGGTTTGCTCTCACAGTTCAGGGGTTTCAACTCCAGCTAATCCTCCACCCTGGCTGCCACCACAACCATCACTCAGGGGTTTGGATGAGCRTGGAAGGAGCACAAACATTTACACAGCTGGGCAGCTCCTTGTTCAGGAATCAATGAGAGAGAGAGAGAGACACAAAATGAAAGGGAAACCCTGTGCCAGCTCTAATTCCTTCTGTGCCTAATGCAATTTGTTACTCATTATTAATCCGATAGAAAATATTGCTGAAACACCTGCTTTGATTTCTTC